TGCTATTTGTTCAGTTAAAGGAGTTTTGGATATATTTCTTAAATTATTAGCTTCATCCATTGGAATATGGAGCACATGATAACTCTTCAAAGAGAAGTTAGAACAAATGTAGCTTGGAGATCCCTAGATGAAAGCTGTCACAGAACATGCAAAATGAACATTCAGCCAATTAAAATGTATAACAACAACTGAGGTGGCCAGAGGGATTACATTTGAGCCATCATGCAGCCCACGGGATTCCAAAAGGTGCCCTTGGGCTGGGCTTCATGTGTAACCTCCAGGACTACTGCTTTCAACAGTGTCATTCTCCAACAGGATGGAAGGGAAGGAAAGTTTCTTGGTTTTGTAGAGAACATCACATGTTAGTACCTGAATTGTGGGCCTTATATGCCTCTGTGCTGGGGTTAAGGGCACATGCACTGATGCCAATTGGGTGCTGTGCTTAACAGTATGCCAGGAGGCCCTTGGTTGGATCAACAGTAGATTTCTTTTATGGGAGATGGGTTCCTCATGGGAGAGAATATTTCTCAACTAATTTTCATTAGTAGTTCCGGAAGAAGTGAACTACTTCCAGGACAGTGATCTTTGCTATAAAGAGGTTGGTAGTCTGAAACTGGATTAATAATTTTTGGTGGAAAACCTTAGCCGAAACCCTTGACTCTAAACTTCCTCCCTCTACCTCCATCTCCTCCCCAGCTATCAATTATCTCCTCAAAAATCTATTGCCTGCATTCTGGACAGATAGACTTTTGCAAGATTTTTTTTTTTTTTAAGAAAAATGATTTTTCCAAAACCTTCTGATATTTTCAAGACAGTTGGTACCAATCAGTGTAATATATGTTACTTCCAAGTCCTAAATATCCTCATCTTTTCAGAGCTAGCAAATATAGATCCACTGCCATCAATGCTTCCATGCTTTGAATGAGTTCTCCACATTCCATCAGTGTTCCTGGAGCAGAGTGGCCCTATTTCTCCTTCAGGAAAACCTGAGTTTGGTTGAGAGAAAATAGGTCCAGAATCCTTCTGTATCTTCTATTCTGGTTTCGGTAACTAGGAGATGCCAGCTCAAGAGGGTGGGGTTTCCAAACTCCTACTCACAAGGTAAATGCAAAGTACTGCCAGCTACCACACCCACACTCTCCAGCAGTTATAGAACATCATTATCCATCCACCAAGCTGCCTTATTTCTTGGCCTTTGGCAATCTTCTCTGTAACCAACCCAGTGAGGAGGGCTTCTTGAAGCAAGGAGTTTGTTCATCTAGACTCTAAATAAATATGAATACTTATGAGAGATCTTTTTTCATCCAAATTGGATTATTCACCATCTCACCATCCATTAAATCCTTCCCCATCCCTAGGCCTTTAGCCATGCCATACCCTGCACCTTGAATTCCCAACTCCTGCCATTGCCATCTTCAAGTCCAGCTCTGATGTCTCCTCTTTCATGAAGTCAGATGACTTCACACAGTCAGATGTTTTCTTCTCCTTCTTATGAGATACACACAGTCAGATGTTTTCTTCTCCTTCTTATGAGCTTATTTTGTTTGCCCCTTTCCTCTGCCATTCACCATGTTTTATTTTGTTGGTTATGTATTTATGCACAAAGCTTATGTCCTCTTCCAAAATATAAACTTGAGAAAAGGGACCATGGTTTAATCATCTCTGTCTCCCCAGAGTTTAGCATAAAATCTTGCACATAATAGTTACTTAACAAATATTTGCTGAATTGGAAACAAAATATCATTGGTCATGGTGAAAACATTCAGAAGAGTACTATGAGAAAAATCCTGAAGACTGGGCCACAGCTGAAAATGTGATTCAGAGGATAATAGGAGGTAGGAGGCATCTTAGAGATTATCAAGTACAAACTTCTCATTTCATAGATGAGGTTAAGTGACTTGCCAAAAGACATACAGGCAGTAGGTGACAGAGTGAGGATTTCAACCTGGTTCTTGCCTACAAGTCCACTGCCTACCTGATCATTAATTTGGATGAAGGCAGGCTTTAATTTAAAAAAAAAGAAATAATAATACTAAAAATAACAAATATCCCTGGTTAATGTCCTTGACTAACTATCCTCTCCCCACATGACATTTCCATATTTCTAGATGTATCGTATCTAGGCAAAATGTTATGATGGGCCTGGAAATTCCCCTTTGCACAGGAAGTGGAATCTCTGTTACGAAAGCTCTGCATTTCCTCCAGTATCACGAAACATGGAGTGCCGGGCAAGTTCCATTCACTATAGCATGCCAGCAACTTCAACTACAACTTGGGCGGGGGGAAGGGGAGGCAGCAGGAGAATGAGGGGCATTATAGCACTGCAAGGTCAAGCAGGATAGCATTGATCAGGATTACGACCTTACTTTCTGAAAATACAAGCCCAGAGCAATGCAACAAACCTAAGTGCCTGCTATATGAAGAGCTAAGGGCTGGAGTAGGTACAAAGTTTGTTTGGGACATGTTCCCTGCCCTCATAGAATTTACTGTCCAGTAGTACTCACAAAGAACTCTAATGTACAATGTTATACAATTAGGAGAGTCAACACAATCGAGGGGATAAGGAACTGACTTTGGAGTTAAGAAGACCTGAGTTCAAGTCCTGCAAGTTCAGGCCACTTTCTAAGATGCTAATTTTCAAAGGAGGGGCCAATCTGCTCTGGAAAAAGAAGTTTCTCACTGGAAGTTATCCTACACTAAGGGAACCACAGGTATGATCCAACAAAAGGTAGGTGGATTTTAAGTGCAAAAGGGAGTTAAAAAACAAAATGCTATGTGAGGTCTGATGGGGGAATGTTAGTATTGACTGGCTATGTGTGTATTAGGTTGAGTGGAGCGGTAAGAGAAAAATACGCCCAAGGGCTAACTTTAGTCATGACCACAATCATGCAATAACATGGCTCCCATACAAAATGATGCATGCCAATTTGATAGCACTGAATATATGTATGCTAAGACCTTGGTAGTTGATATACAGGTAGGAATATTGTCCTGTTTCTTTGAAGAAAGACTAAAATCTACTTACTGTTGTCCAGGTTTAAGCATGATTATTCTGATTAACCAGAAAAATATTCCTTTCTTATTTATCTAGATGAAATAAACCCTCCCCTGTTTCTGAATTTCTCTATCAGTATTGAAAGTACCACCAATCTCTCACTGCCCAAAACCTTTCTGTCATCCTTGATAGTGATGGAGAAATTCATGGTGGGGAGAGGTGAGAAGAAGGTTTATTACTTCATAGAGAAAAATAAGAAAGCCATTCTCCAGAGAGTGGCTACTATCCCTGATTTAAGGACATCCCTCTATGGGACCATACTTTTAAAAGGAGAGCTCAAAAGCCCCACCAATGTGATTCCTCTTGAATGATCAGCCAATAGACATAATTAGTTCAAAGTAAAGACATTTACTAAAGTGTACATACAAAATATTTTGCCCCTTAACTTGAACTTCATCATCCCCTAAATACATATACAGTATATAGGAGGAGTGGTCACAGAGTACATTTGTAGTGACATACACATTTAGGGAACATGTGTGGTCAGGGCAACTCCATTTCTCTAGTATTGAAGGCCCTATGTTGTTTGACATTTTTATCTAAGATTTGGCTAAAGGTATAGATGGCATCCTGATCACATTTGCAGATGACACAAAAGTGAGAGGGATGGTTAGGATGTTGGATGATAGGATCAGTGTGCAAAAAGAATTTTGAGTGTTGGACCAAATCTATTAAGATGAAATTTAATAGGAGTGATTAGATTTAAAAAAAAACAAACAACTTTTTAAATACAAAATAGGGAGGAGATAGCTAAACAGCAGTTCCCTTGGAAAAAAAAAAGTAGGGGAATTTTAGAGGGCTGAAATTCAATTTAAGACAAGAGTATCACTTGGCAGTCACAAAATCTAATGTGATTTTAGCTTGCATTAAGAGAGGTGTAATGTTAGGAATAATGGAGGTGATGGTCCACTATACTCTTCCCTAGTCAGAATGCATCTGGAATATTTATCTCTCTGTTCTATGTGCTCCATGTTGGGAAGGACATTGATAAGCTAACGAGCCTAGAGGAAGGTGACCAGGATTATGAAGAGCCTGGACATTATGTCACTTGAAAACTGACTGGAGCTTTCCTTATAGAAAGCTTAATTTTGTCTCTTTGCAGCTTTTATTCATTAATCCTATCTATTTTGTTCTTTTATTTTGCCCAATCGGACCAAGCAGAACCCATCTAATGCTTCTGTATAACAGCTTTTCAAATCTTGTCCTATCTTTTCTCCTCCACAAGCACTTAGCACATAGTAGACACTTAATAAATGTTTATTGATTGTCATGTAGAAGAAGCATTAGAGGTGCTCTGCTTGACCCCATTGGGGGGAGGGAAAGGAGGAGAAGGAGGAGGGGGAAAAAGAAGGAAAAGGAGGAAGAGAAGAAGGAGAAAAAGGAGAAGAAGAAGGAGAAGAAGAAGGATGAGGAGGAAGAGGAAGAGAAGGAGGGGGAGAGATTAATGAATAAAAGTTGTATACAGGTAAAATTAAACTTAATATAAGGAAAGCTCCCTAACAATTAGAGCTATCTAAAAGTGGAATGGGCTGCCTTGGGACATAATGGGATATCTATCTATGGAGACCTTTAATCAAAAGTTGGATGACCAATTATAGGGGATTCTTGTTCAGGTATGAGTTAGATTAGATGACTATTAAGGTCCCTTACAGTTCTGAGATTTTATGATTCTGTGATTCCAAGGTTTTGAGAGAATATATCCTCATTTTCCAGTCCTCTCATAGGAGTAAAATGAAAGACAGAGTTGTTAACTAGGTTGGATCAGGGATTTTCCCCAGGTGTCAGAGTCTGTGAAGAGCACTTATGAGAAATAGAAAGTATACTTCTTCTACACTGCAGGTCAGAGACCACCATTCCTATTATTTTTATTTAAAGTTATGATCAATTTCACCTTATAAAACAGCAAGAAGTATTTGAGGGGGAAAACAAAAACAAAAATAAATGTTAATTATTAGTAGAAGAAATGTGGGCATAACCTGCTACTTGGCTGACTAGAACATCTATTCTGGGACTCCAGTTGGGCCTGTCCTCCTAGGTTGTACCCCATACTTTGATTCTTTCTTGAATGCTTTTCCCCCATCAAAATTTATCTATTCTAATAGATACTGAGAGATAATCAAAGTTAGTTCCACAAATTAATTTGTTCTAAGACACCATTAGTTAATAACTGTTACCTCTCTAAGAGCTATTTGCATTTTAACAAGGGACTTTAATGCCTTAGTCCAAAGGGTTGATGCTAGAAGTTTCTTTTCTTCACCCATTACACCATATAGGTTTATATCTGCTTATAGTTTGGATTAAAAGTTAAACATAATTATGGCCCTCCGGTAATTTCACTTGTGTCAATCTATATTACATTTTTCCTATTCCAAAAGATTCCTTTAGAATAGGGATTCTTAACCTGGAATCAGTAAACTTGTTTTGTTTTTTAATTTTGGTAACTGCATCTGTATTCCTATGTGTTTCATGAATTTAAAAACATTATTCTGAGGAGTTAATAGGCTTCACCAGTCTGCTAAAGAGTCCATGATACCAAAAAAGGTTACAAGACTCTAGTTTAGAAGAAGTTATCAAAGAGTGATCTGTAGACCACAGACCCCCTGGGAGGACTAAAGATGAGCATTGTTTTATAATATAACATTTTCTGCCTTTTCTTTAGAAAGAAAACAGATATTGATTCTTTTCCCTCATCAATTGTGTTTTCAGTAGAAAGAAAAAAAGCAATTGGGGCAACTAGATGGCAGAGAGTAAACTGGGCCTGGAGTCAAGAAGGCCTGAGCTCAAATTGAGCCTCAGACACTCTGTTTATTTCAGTTTCCTCTTCTGTAAAAAAATAGCATCACCTGCCTCTCAGGGTTGTTATGAGAATCAAATGAGATAATAATTGTGAAGAACTCAGCACAGTGTCTGGCACATAGTGTTATGTAAGTATTGGGTAGTAGGAGTAATGATAGTAGTAATAGTAGTAGAAGGAGGAGTGGCCGTAGTAGTAGTAGTAGTAGTAGTAGTAGTAGTAGTAGTAGTAGTGGTAGTCGTAGTAGTAGTGGTAGTGCTAGTGGTAGTGGTAATAGTAGTAAATGGGGCAGGTTAGGGCATGAATCACTTCATACAAATGCAGTGCTATACACCAAATTCTTTTTCTGTTCCACTTTTGCCAACACTTTTGTGTGTTGGCTCAACTTTCCAAGTTAGCAATAAATTGTTCCTTCTCAGAGAAAAGGTCCAATATGTTGACATTAATTCTTATGGTAGTCATTTTGCCTTGGGGCTGCTGATATTATTGATTGTGAATATTTAGCTTGGAGAGGATGCATCTATGATCAGTCCAGTACTCTGCCACCACACATTGCCTTCATCACTCTCACATCCTGTCTGTCTCTTCTCCTTACAACCATATAGTCTATTAAATGCCAATGTTACCTGTAAGGGTACATCCACAAAATTTTATTGTGTTTAGCTCAATGGAAGATAGTGTTGGTGATGAGAAGGTCATGAGACGCACAAGTCTTCAGTAGTAAGCTAATTGACAAAAAAAGTACATATTAAAATGATTTCTAAACCTATAATGAAGAACTTCATTAAGAGAATTGGTAAAAGTGATCAGATCCTTAGTCCTACCTCTCTGATCCCTCTACCATCTCAGACTCACAGTTTCCAGCAGCTTGAAGGGCCAAGAGTGTGGTCTAGGGTCACTTAAGAAGCAGCCCTAGTCCTTTTCTATTACAATCATGTCACTAAAACAATCTATCCTCTTTCCCAAGTAGGGCCAAGCAAAGATATTCCAACTGGGTTGGAGAAGGTGGGATAGAGAATATGAGCACAATGAAGATTAAAATAAATTAATTATTTATTAAAATAAATGAGGTTAGAAAATTAAACCAGCCCATTAAAATAAAATGAGGTTAGAAAAGGTTAGCAATTGCACTCTGCTGGCCTCTTAGGGTTCTGCATGTCCCCCTCATGGAATTGGGAGGGAATATATGCGGTGGGTCACAGAATCAGATCTCCTGCCTCCAATTTGCAATGGTTCTAGTTATAGGAGGAAGGCATGAATTTCTTTGTTTCAGACTAGTGGAAGAATACAGCCAAAGCTTACTCTTTGCCCTGGCTGCAGAACTAGCTGGGAAGGCTGGAGGCCTTGTCCTCCCCAGAAGCCACCTACAGATTGAGAAGCAATGATTCCTGCAGCCCCTCCATTTAATTAGGGTGGTAAGTGGTGAGGGAATTCCCTGCAAAACTAACCATCGCCACCCCAAAAAAATTGAAGAAAAGAAATTTTATTTCCTCCTGTATTTATGAAATTCCTAGTGTTGTGCAGTATCCATTTAGGAACTTGAATCATATATACTTATTTCCACCATCAACTTCCACATCACTTTAATCATACAATGATTCTTTTCCCATCCCAATAGAGTAAAATTAGACATTATGAATTCTCGATGTGTGCAAAATTAAATTTTCAAGACAGAAAGTCTTCTCAACAAACAAGGGGCTAGATTTCATTTCCACCCATGAGGCAATTATAATAGCCTCCACCCCTTCCCTTAGGGCAGAATAAAAACATTAACGTATCACTGAGAACATTCCCCGCCAACCTCCCCAAGAAGAAGGTGATTGTGGATCACAAACATGTTATTTAAATTCCAGTTGTACTTT